CCCCCCCCGAAAGGCCCATCCCAAGTACACGGGCGAGGACCTGCCCAGCCAGTCAGATCCTGAGGATTTCCCGCCTTGCAGCCCTCCGTTGCTGGGTCCCTCCTTCTCCCAGAGCAGGCGCTCCTCCTCGGTGCTGCGCTCCTTGCGTCGGCAAAAACCCACAGCAAGCCACCCACTGACTCTTCGGGGGCTTTTACGCACTTCGAAAGGTCCCCGTTGGTTTTCTCCCCACTGCAACCAAAGACATGCTCAGCACACACCAATCTGCCTTCCGACTCTTTGCCATTTACGTATAACTTGCCACCATTCACTCCATTGTCCCTGAACCATTTTCCCCCAGATCTCATTTATTCTGAATGTTGCACAATTTTTCTCCAAACTGTTCCCTGGTTTTCCATTATTGCCATTCACGAGAAAATAACACACAATACCACCAACCACTGCATTCGCACTTCTGAACAACCGAGATGACACCAACTCAGACGTTCTGACATCCGTTTCAGTCCTTCTCTGCAGGCCTGCGTCCGCTCAGGCCCCTTCCTTCACCTTTGCCCTGAATCCAGGTTTTTACTTTTTACCCCACTCCCACTCCCTCCTGGGCACCCTCGGCCACACACCCGGCTCAGGCCCACCAGACGAGCCGGGCATTCCCCGCCAAGGTCGGGCTGCGGTGCCCAAGCCACGCCCCTGCTCCTGCTCCGGCTGGTCCCCGCGCAACCCAGCCCTGGCACGCTCCCCGGAGCAGGGCTTCCGGGGGTCCTGGGTGGGCTCCCGAACTCCGCTTGACCTGACGAGGATGACTGGGCGACCTGTTGCCGGTTGTGCCACGGCTAGGCTGGCAACTGATTGTGCTGAGCCCCCAGGCTGGAAGCTGCCTCCAACTGTGGTGGACGTGCGCCTTGCCTAGCCCCCAACTGCTCCTCGAGGGGAAATAAACCCCGAGAGGAGGTGCAGTCAGTCCTCACTAATGGTGGGGAGCAAAGGAGGCTGTGCTTTCATTAAGCCATGGTTTACTGATGGACCCAGCTAGGGGAGCTCACATAATCTGCTAAACCAAAACCATTCTGGCTTCTGGCTTGAACCCTGCTAGTCAGCATTTTCCAAGTTCAGAATAAACAGTGTCTTTATTTGGATCGATGAGGACTAGAGCCTTATTTTGCTTCAGGGAGAAGGACGTCACTTAATGACGGAGTCTCTGGTGTGCATGTTGATGTGCAGTTCTGGCTCTCCAGCAAGGGCTGGGGAAGGCCTCTCCTGACCCCTTCGCCAGCAAAAACTGGCTTCTCATGTTCCCGAGATGGGTGAGTTGCACACGGGGGTGGGGGGAGCCCCGAGTCCTGCCTCCAGCAGGAGCCTTTCTGCTCATCGCACCTCCCTCCCCAGGGCACTCCTTCTGCTTGTGGCCCAGCTGCCGCACAGGTCTCGGGGATGAGGCCCCTCTACCTCCGTCGGTGCTGGTCTTGTCCAGACATCTCCAGGGCCCAGTAGGGAAAGCCGGGGGCTGGGCGGGCGCCCGTCCGGCCTGCGTGTGAGGTGGGTTCTGGCCAAGGGCCCCAGCAAGTGGGAGGTGGAGCAAATGGCCCAGGGCGCACAGCCCCTGGGTGTCCCTCCAGCTGAGGGAGGGGGCCCAAGGCTTTTCGGACTGCTGATGGACGCGGAGAGGCCCCACGCTGAACACCTCCTCCTGCTTCTCCCACGAGTGGTTGGAAACCAGGGGCTCCCCTCGCAAGGCCCTCTGGTTGGGTGCCCCCATGGCATCTGAAGGGCAACGATCCGGCCACCCACCTCAGGGACCCCCACTGCATTACACGGCATCCCTGAAGCCAAAGTCCCACAAGTTGAGCCCGGCCAGAACTTGGCCCTCGCCGGCTGCCCTGCTGACAATACCAGGCTGGTCTGCGAAAGGGCCAGCTGCGGCTGCAGACGACCCGGAGCCCAGTGGGTTGCCCCCCCACTCTGCCCCAGGCGGAGGCATGAGGGCATGCGGTTTGGGACCGCCTGGCTTTTTTCTGGCAGCTTCCCCTGCTCGCTGGCTGCTGCGGTTGGGTCTCGGTTCCACAGCTGGTGGCGCACCGTATTGTGATGTAAACAAAGCATGTTTCCCCTCCCTGAGTGGAAACAGATGGGCTGAAGCTGCTGGAAGGTGGAAAGGCCCATCTCCCTCGGGCTTCTGGAGGAAGTTTGCAAGGGAAGCAGGGGGGGGGGACGGAGGTGCTGCCCTCCTCCTGCCAAGGGAGCAGAGAGCCTTCAGGGAGGCCTGGCGAATGGGCTGCTCCTTGCCCCTCACCTGGGGCAGGGGCAATTTTCCCCCCCCCCCCCAGCACTTGCAGCAGTGGAGGACGGCGGCGAAGACCAGAGGCAGGCACAGCTGTTTTAGGCAGATGCTTTATTCCCCCTTGCAGGCCACGGGCTGGGAAGGGCCCAGCATCCAATGGTAGGAGAAAGGGTGGGAGAGGCTTGGGGGTGTGCAAGGCCTGCCTGACCCCCCCCAGAACTGGAGATCAGGCTTGGGCTTCTTCCTATGACTAGGTGGGCCTGCCCAGCATCCCCGCAATTCAAGCATGCCTGCTCCTCCGGGCCCCCCTCCCCCCACCCTTCTTCACTGACCAAGAAGAGCCCCAGACAAACATTCCTGGTTGCTGCAATCCCATCTGTCCGGCAGCTCTCAG